TTCCTTCCTTCCTCTTTCATGTTTTCAACATAATCTTTTAAAATGGGCAATAATATGACAAAATATCTGCATAATGTGCAAAATTTAAAAAGAAATATAACAATGTGGTCTTGGGTTCTTTTATTCAAATTCTCAATCTTTGAGTTTGATGTAATATTTATGCTCACTACTCTCATAAAATCTATAACTATACACATCCTATTTTAATAAAGATGACGGTTTAGATAGAGAATGACTGTGTTTGCTTCAGAGGCTTTTATGCTCTTTACCATTTTTATTTATTTATATTGAATTTATATGATCAGCCATCTCACAAAGGCAACAATGTTATAACAGATAACAAAATATAATTATTAGATTACTATTTTTAATTGCACTGATTGATAGAGATAGTTATCATAGCAAGCAGTAATAGCTAATCAAACTTACTGAAAAAGCTAAGAGGATCTAATTTTATTAACATTTATGTAAGGTGGAAAGCTATCAAGTAATTCCAGATTAATTGAGGAAATAAAATAGATGGCAAAAACTTCCATACTGTCAAGAAAAAAAAAATGACCATGGCCTTGTAATTACTAGGATCTACTTTATAAAGGTGTATGTTTAGATTTATAAACTTATATTCTATACATTTATAGAAATTATAATACATTAAAATTCTTACAGATACACTGAGATGTGTTATTCTATTTGCAGGTAGTTGATACCTTGTGTTACCCAGACACTTTAGCTTTAAGTTTCATTGTTTATAAAAATTTGCTAATGAGCTGGGGAACTCAGCTCAGAATAAAATATCTATAGTTTGGAAAGTTTGGCTCATTATTTGGAAATGTTTCTTAATTTTTGATTTATATCTTCAAATAAATATTGTTAGAATTGATATGCTAACCCATGCATTAAAATATACTGCTAGGAATTAATAAAAATTATACTCTGTGATGTGAATGATTTGTTTTCCTTGTTGACATGTGTCAAATAAACATATCTACCTTTTCAATATGAATATTGCTCTGAACTACTAATTTCTAATTGCTTACGTGAATTTGAGGAAATTTCTCACATAGAGTTAGAATGTTTTCCCTAGTATAGTTGAACAGT